GACTTCTGTTCACAATGTCTCCGATTATTGAGCCGTTTCCGTCTCAATTCAGCCATATCGGATAGTGTTCCTGAATTCTTTTGGATATAGTGCGCATCGACTGACCTATATACTTGACTCCATATGAGCAGGTAATTTGATAAATATACATACAGTTGGTCAGATGAGATAACTTATCCTTCAGATTATTGGTGAACAACGATCGACCGGAAAACACTATTTGCAACATTGCTGAAAAGAACATTCTATTCAAAGACTTGGAAATTTTCGTCTTTAGCACGTTTGTAGCACTATCACCCTTAAAACCGTTATCTATTTAAAGTGTCTTCTTTTCAACTGACGTCATTTGTGTTTTAGACCGATTAGGTTTTATATTCTTGTTAATAAATAAAGCTGGATAGTGGCTAGCAATGGAATCCAGGACTTGTATTTCGTCCTATTTAGGACACGTCAATTGGATGTACCTGCACCCCAGAGTTGATGTTCACTATGAGATTCGAACCCAGTACCGTTCGCTTCAAACGCCATTGCGTTATTCACTTAGCTACTACTGAGTCTTCATAGCCACTTGCTTGTGCAATAAGGTGAAGTTTATATTCATTTAGTGTTGTTTTATTTGTATAATTCTTTTTGCCAATTTTTATCACATCCATGAACTATTTTTATCAGAATGGGTTTTGTGGAGAGTTTAAGAAATTTCACAGGTTGAAATCATGAGTCAGTTGAAGCTAGACCACCATTGAAAACCTGGAAGCACTGGACGGCCGTTTCGTCCTGGTATGGGACTCCTCAGCAGTGCGCATCCACGACCCCGCACCACTCTCCACAAAACCCATTCTGATAATAATCAACTGCTCACTAGTGATTGACTTCAGGAAAAACTCCTGGAGTTCTAGTGAGAAGCCGTTACCGGTGGAGTTCAACCGGTCTGTTGTGAGATAACAACTCACTGAAGACAATGGTGTACGGTGGCGCAACTTCGTGGATTGGTTGAAGTTAGACATTAATACCGTTGGATGCCGGCCCAGTGGTCTAGTGGTTAAGTGCTCGCGCGCGAAGGTAGTAGGTCCTGAGTTCGAATCTCGCGTGGTGCGGGATCGTGGGTGCGCACTGCTGAGGAATACCATACCAGGACGAGATTGCTGTCCAGTGCTTCCGGGTTTCCAATGGTGGTCTAGCTTCAACTGACTCATGATTTCAAACTATTTTTATATTCATATACTTTGCCAAATCCATTTATTTGTATACAACATTAAAACAAAGTTATATGACATATATGTTCCCTAATCAACCAATCTACCTACTTATCTATGAATCTATTTTAACCTACTTCACTATCTGCCACACCTACCTACCTACCACGATATGTATTCAATAGTTATACAATGAACAGTTGCTACATATTTTTATTTTGTTCGTTAAACTAAATATCATTGTCATTATCACCTTCCTTATTTTTTCATGTCCTTCATAATTTGTATTTCCCTCTTTATCATATTCAATTATGTATCGACATCATCATGAATGTACAAAGTCAAACGAATCTATATATTTGTGTGTGCGTATGTGTGTGTATGTGTATGTTCACTTAGTAACTGGTAATGTGTGTTCAATATTAAAGGAACAAATTCTAATGACTTATTCATAACTAAGGAATAAAATAATCAGAAGGGGTTTTGTGGAGATTTTAGAAATTTTCACAGATTTAAATCATGAGTCAGTTGAAGCTAGACCACCATTGAAAACCTGGAAGCACTGGACGGCCGTTTCGTCCTAGTATGGGACTCCTCAGCAGTGCGCATCCACGATCCCGCACCACACGGGGCTCGAACCCAGGACCTACTGGCTTCGCGCGCGAGCACTTAACCATTAGACCACTGAGCCGGCATCCAACGGTGTTAATGTCTAACTTCCGGCTCAGTGGTCTAATGGTTAAGTGCTCGCGCGCGAAGCCAGTAGGTCCTGGGTTCGAGCCCCGTGTGGTGCGGGATCGTGGATGCGCACTGCTGAGGAGTCCCATACTAGGACGAAACGGCCGTCCAGTGCTTCCAGGTTTTCAATGGTGGTCTAGCTTCAACTGACTCATGATTTAAATCAATAAAATAATCAATAATTATATATATAATTTCTAGAAGAGGGTTTTGTGAAGATTGCAGTAATTGAATAGTTGAATTCATGAGTCAATTGAAGCTAGACAACCATGGGAAACTTTGAAGCACTGGACGGTGGTTTCGTCTCTCAGTGTGGGACTCCTCAGCAGTACGCAATCACAATCCCTCACGCAGGACTCGAACCCAGCATCTTCGGTCTTGTAGACGAATGGTTAACCTCTAAACCACTGAACCTAGGGATCCAACAGTAATAATGTCTAATGGTAACTAATTCACGCAATTTCTTCACCGTCCACCATTGTCTTCAATGAGTCCCATACTGAAACGAAATCACCGTTCAGTGCTTCCAGGTTTTCTATGGTGGTCTATCTTCAAATGACTCATGAATCCAACTATTATATAATTTTTAGTTGTAGATAATAAATTGTTTTAATTTATATAGGAAGCCTATGAAAATCTTTATAGTGTACATTTGTGACTCTATAGATAATCGATCTTTGGGTTGAATAGGTAAATCATTGGGATAAAGGTTAGGTGCTTGTCGAGAGATATTGAACTCTTTAATTCGATCAAGAGTGAGTTGGTAGATGTGAGTTTCTGAAGAGTCTAATACTAAGGTGAAACAGCAGTTTATTGCTTTTCAGCTTTCAGTGTTTAACTAACTAGGGTCAGTCCATCACTTGTTAACTTTAAAAATGAATGATCTTCATAAATATGTTCTCTTTTCTTTACAAAGACTTGTTATAAATACTTATTGATGATATAAAATTAAACTACTGTATACCTGAGTATTCAGTTAAACATTTAAGATTAGATTATAGAAAGTTATATCTGCTAACAACTAAAAGGGAGGTGAAACCTACAAACTTTAACTTGTATTACTCAATTGATGGAACCTACATTATTAAAGTTTTTTTAACCGGCAAACTTGATAAGTACACATTAACCCTCATTATTTTATTATCTTTTATGATCTTGTTTGCGGTGCAAATTAAGATAGATCAATCAAGTTTGAGGTCACTTAAACTAATAATCATATTGGTACGTGATTGATTGAATTCGATGACTACTAAAAGACTAGATAAACAAAAATATCGATCATTGTTCAATCATTTGTATGTGAGTTATATTATATAACTGGAGGAGGTTCTTCTGGATGTACCTGAAAAGGAATTTGGATTAGAGGTGGTCTTAGTGACCTTAGAGCGTGACCGCAGTGCCCAAGAGATAACTGCTTAAGGTCGGTCACACACGACCTTTTTATGGGTAATTGTTGTGTTAGCTCCGTACTTATTGAGACCTTACCGCCGGTGACGGATATCCGTGGGATAAGGCGAGGTGTGCATTTTTAGGGTCGACCTTTTCTAACCCCACCCCTCCTTATGGAAAGCAGCATCGTTGTCATGCTGGTTGTCTGAAGGAAACACCTTACTGCTGTCATACCTCTGTACAGTCAGCAGTACGACTTCGCCTTCGGACCTTGGGTTTGTTGCTTTTAGTCTTACCACTCTTCAACCGACCTGTCTGACATGGTAGGACCTTGAGGAACGGTTGTTCCAACCGGTATAGCTCGGTTGCTTCATCACGATAGGCATGCCCAACCACCACGTCAAGGTAGCAACAACGGTTGGGATATTATATAACTTATCAATTAACAATTAAAATTATATTCTACTTGAAGTTTGTGCTGCTGATGATGATGTTCAGAGAAACGACGAAAGCCGCACGATCAAACGATCTAGTTAAAAGAATAAAACTTCATTAAAATCATCCACTTGAGCTACAAATCTTCTCCATCATCTCAGAATAAACCTTAAGTTTTGTTATGTCGTCAATTAACTAAAATTATAACACATGTCCCCAATCCAATAAGTTAATTCTGAAGTAATTAGTTTAAAGTTTATCCTAAAGAATAGTTGAAGTTATGGATGTTTTAACATTTAGTATCTTTTCAAATGATTTCATACTGAATATCACTTCATATAAGGAAGATCTAATTAATATTCAAGCTATATTTCAGATTGTTCTATGCTTAGTGTTAAGTTCGCTACTTGATTAACGCAGAATATGATATACAACTACGGCATTAGAACGTATAGAACCTTATAGTCACAAATTAGAAGATTGGAGAAGTGCTTGTTGGGTAAGAATCAAAATGTACAGAAGATCATGGATATTTATAGGTATTAGCGTTTGTTATATCAACATTATAATTAAGCCAATCCGAAAAAAGGCAGGCTATGCTACTGTACAATAATAGCATTCCAAATTGATATTCTAGAAAGCTCCATCACGTTCTGGTCAGATGGAAACTCTTAGGTTCCTTAAGGATCTCTCGAGGCTCCGTTGTAATTCTCGGAAGCCATCCCAACACTTACAATCCTGTTCACACCATTCACTAAAAAATAATTGATGCCATACTCTCTAGGAAATGCTTATTGAACCCCATCCACCTAGTTACAATACTACTCTTTGGTTAATTCACTTGATATAACAGTATAGATTCGTTAATGTCAAAAAAAGTATTCTTAGTAACCTACAATTCAAATGTTAGATGTAATTGGTAATACTTTAAAGTATGGTATATCACAACAATTTCTATCTGGTAATGCAAATACAAATCTCGGAATGAGTATGAAGTTGAAAATCTACGAATAAGTATTGTTGATATTCAGTGTACAAATAGAATTCATTCATAACAAGTACATAAATTATGGTGAAAATATTTAGCAAAATAAATTGTCCTACTTACAAGTAGTTAATATTTTATATCAAAATAATCAAACCTACATATAATTCATAGAAAAGATGTCATTCACAAGAAATATCACAGTTTATAAATGTCAATAATAACAAATTATTATGAGGAAAACAAAACATTCGCTACAATTAAAGTTTAGAACTGAACCAACTGGATCCATTTGATAATGAAAGTAAAGAATCTTTTGCTTTTACCAATATTTTGAAAGCTTCTTCACTTCCTGGAGTATTATTTTTATCAGGATGTACAATAAAGGCTAAACGACGAAATGCTTTTTGAATTTCTTCGCTTAAGATCAATAAATAAGTAAAGAAAAGAATTATTGATAAGTAACTGCTAGTGTTCTTTATTGATTGAGCTCTAATGTTTCTTTTCTAATGTCACATGATATATATTTACAACATTTTTTTAAGCTAAGATGGATAGCGATTGGTAATGGAATCTAGGACGCGCGTTTCGTCAGCCGAATATACCCACATCACAGTTGACGTCTACTCAAGGACTCGAACCTTGTACCGTTCGTTTAGAACTCCATCGCATTATCCACTTAGCTACTGAGTAAAAACGGTTATCCACCTGTGCAATGGTGTGAAGTTTTAATCCAACTAACGAGTTCCAAATAGGACGAAACCTGTGTCCTAAATTCCACTGCTACCTATCATCTATCTTTGCTTATAATGCTTGTGAATTAACTTAATATCGAGGCAATACGCAGAATATGCACAAATGCCAATAAGAGAGTGATCAATTGTAGTCCTCAACACCAATGTGAAGATTTAAACAAACAATAGAAAAATGAATTAACATTTTTATTTTTCACAGATGATAGACTTGATGAGTCCAAGCATCCAGTTCCTGTGCTCACACGCTACTATCAAAGCCTAACGGTAGATGAGAGTTTACAAACAAGGCACTTTCATTAGATTAAACCAACTATGCACTGAGTCATGGTCTTAGTTTCCATGTTCTTGTCAGTGTCAAAAGGGTATATATATATATATATATACCAGTGATTTGTGTACACTTAATTCGGTTACTCAGTCACAGTTTCCAAGTCATTCTCATTCGCTTAGCGGATTGGGTCAGCGTAGAAGAAACGTGTATATCTATTACAGAATCAAACAACTCCACAACATGAAATAGAAAGAACAGCAAAGTAAACAGCGTTTAGGTCGAACGCAAATTGTTTAGTAATATAACTATGTCATTAATATATCAATAACTTCACTGTTTATCAAAATATCTAATGCTAAACAACATTGAGAAAGTTAAGTAAGTAAATGAAGACATGAAACCAATTTTCTATTCATATCAATATGAAAGACTTTATATCTGTTGGCTTATACTCAATCAGGATGTTATGATATATTAGTTAGTGATCTAGTATATTAAAGATCAAAATCAAATACTGTTTAGTGACCCTATATCTGACTCCAATTAGGTCGTACGAATGAATATGACTGAAACATACAACCTGGCTATCCTCGTATATAATTATCGACTTAACTGGCGTTAGTGAATAACGGAATTAAATAAGTCAAATATGAGAATGGATTGTTGAATACGTATGCTTTGTACAATCATTGATCCAGATAGACGATCTAAAGAACGATGCGAAATGAAGTGATACGCGGTGGAGAATGTATGTGAACCAACTCCATTTAATTAGGCGTAAATCAATATTCATAACCAAATAAAAATAAGTTACAGATATGTGATTAACAGGATAAGAAGTGAACACATATACGCTTATATAAGAACAGTCAAGGTTGATAAGTAAATAGTTAACAAGGTCAAAACTTGACTTAAGAAGAGTGGATAAATTGGCCTGCCCAGAAGATAGAATAAGTTATGTGGGCTTAACATAGTAACTGACACTGCAACTGCTTATCTCGAGAATCAATTTTGAAATTCTTTTTTATAAAGTATATTTTCTTGTTGGTGTGCTCAAACAAACTGAGACTAGAAGCCGAAAATTTTGAATCCAATCGTCGGGTCTCCACTGATAAGCAACCAACTGATTGAATGAGTGGTAGTAATATGTAAACGAAATATTGCATATAAGAATAAGATATGGTAAAAAAATAGTTAGTTCGTAGAAAGAAAGGCATAAAGTAATTTTAATCTGATGGTTTAAGGGAAGACAAACAGTGTATATACCTAAACCCTTATGATCGATTCTGAGCCATATCACCCAGAGTATTCAACTATTAGTTACGGTAGTGGCGCAGACCCCAATCAAGTAGTCTGCATCTACCAACATGGCTCAAACCAGAAGTTAGTGATTTTCTGGACTGATGCCATTTCTTGGTTTGGTCGCCCTTAACTTTCTAACATCTGTCTCCAACACTAGTCAGCATTGAGCGTTGTAGTAATCGGTGTTCAGGCATACGTTATATATAAATATGACTATTTACTCATTGGTATTACAGGATCACTCTCTACTGGTAGGTAAACCATCTTATGTCAATGTTTTTTTTTACACATTAGTACCATTGAAGTAACTACTTCTATGAATTCAGTATTCATTTTGTGGTGCTAATGAAGTCTGACAACTTAAACCGATACATATATTTATGCCTGATCTTACATTGTAGTTGACTGACTAATTAAAATGTTTCTAATGTTTGAATTGAAAGTTTTAAAGAAGCATCAATATCAGCATTATTTATCACTTAAACACAACTTAAACACAAATATATATATTTATTACTTAATTAACTTTAAACAAACTTACCTACTAGCTGTTATACTAATTCCTAATCGTTCATAATTATTTTTAGCATTTTTAATACGATTTATTTCTAAAAGATTTTGATAGGTCATTTTACATGTTTCATTTTGATTTGTTTTAAATGAAACAGTTGATGATGGTGAAGAAGACATATTGAATTGTTTAAATGAATGATTTAATTTTGAATTTGATTTTGGAATATTCATTGTTGAATTATGATGTATAGAATTTATTTTTTGATATGTAGGATTATTTAAATTTTGATGAAAATGAGTATGATTTGGTATATAAGATTGATAGATTTCTGGATGAATAATACTTTCAAATAAAGTCTGGAAAAAAAAATTTGTTTTAAATATACAACCAAAAGAGGAAAAAATGGGTTATGCGCATATTTCAAATTAGCAAATTTAAAGTAAACTTGGCCGTTAAGGCATTCTTCATGTACTTTGGGACCACCGAGGTTAGAGATAGGGTAGTAGGTAGGGCTGAGAGTGAAGAGACTCAGCTCCACCTCTCGAAATGCTCTCACATGGTCACGTGCATATAACCACTGCCAGGGAAGTCATACTCACTGTCTTCTAGGATCACGAAGTTAAGAGGATGAAAAGCGAATGTCCGATGCTTTAACTTGGTTGGTGGATACGGAGGATCTACTTAAGAGAGTCGGAAAACCCTGATACCAAACCAATGATGTAAATGACCTCAAGGATCTTAAGGAAACAAATGGCGTATGAACCAGTTGTTGGTTACCGGCTACCATGGGACTACATCTCCTTATGTTGCTCTACTACCTTGTTGATCAGACCTTTAGTTCGAAGGTTCCGGTTGTGGCCACCTCAGGAAACCACCTGCTTCAATTCGGGCACACGGTCAGTATCCAAACCCAAATCAAGTGGCCTGTGTGGCGCATATATGTTTGGTTCCTCCTTGTACTAATGTTTATGTGTTTAAATAAATAACTAGGTAAAGGTGAAAAATCGACTGATGAGATAGTGGATCATCAACAACTGGTGTGGTCGAAACTTGCGTTACATACATCCAATCAATCTATACATCAACAGGCGATATCGTATGATGTAGAATTAGGTTGGAAGAAAGCTAAGGTGGTAAAACTAAAATATGTCACTTGTCCATAAAATCATTGATCATTAGACTGAGCTGTGTCAATCGATATAGACTAACTCGTTGGACTTCACGAGATTGTTGTAACCAGTGGTTGATAAGAATCGAATCTGTTCTCAATGGTGCATGAGAATTCATTCTGTCTTCCTTTAGACTCTGATTTCTGAAACCTCTCAGTACTTTTTTATTTCATCCAATATTTAATCGTTTCTATTACCAGTGAATTTGAACTTACTTCTAATACTCTGATATTTGTCTTGATAACTTCATTTCCTTGTACTAATGTTGTACACTAACTTGAGTCGATGAATATTTGTGTCAGGTTCTACGTTCCATATGACTGGTTGACTAATTTTTAGATTCTGATTGTTTATATTTCTAGTCTCTGTCAGTACACAGGTCTTTCTTAAACAAACAACTTTGATATAATCTACATTTTTATTCTTCACGATAACTAATACCAGTCAGTAGAGTTATTGCCCAATCAAATCAAAAGTATTTGCACAACTCATTTACACAAATATATATTTATCTCCTTCAAAATTCAAACCAAACTTTTAACCAATAGTTCACATCTATTTTCTCAGAAATTTAAGTCGAACCATAATTAATGGCACATACCTGACTTGAATTATTATGTCTGATTGAGGGTAACTGAAATACATTCGATAGTTACGTAACTGATTCATTGACAACTGATTATATTAGTTCTTCATAAATGTTTTTATTTTTCTGTTTTTGATGTTCAAGGATGAATTCTAATTAGTCTCTGTTGGTATATTTACATTTTGAGCGAATCATTTGAATAAGTATCATACTCATTGAACAAGATGGTAATGATGTGTATTTACTTGTTTAAGGAATGAAACGTTAAACTTTGAAGAGAGAGATACTGAGTGTGAGTGTGGGGATTAATTCTTAGATTCAAGTAAATCCAATTGATAAGTCGTAAATTGAGTGAAATGCTCGTTCTGGATTTCTCTGACAGTTGTAATTCAAATATATGATTGCGTTGAGTACACCAACAGTTATGATGGGCCAAAGTTATTACTCCTTAGAAATTTTTATTACTTCCCAATAAAGCATTAAACCCTCTATTTCATTTTTTTTTCACCTGAATCATTTTGTTTAATACATTCTGACCAACTTTGTATGTATGTTTCGTAACTAAATTATGACTTACGCCATTCTATCTAACAATCCCTGTTCCGTATCTAATTCTAATAATATTACATGTTGAAATAAGAGGTGGTTTATTTTAAAGGAGGTCACAACACGAATTACTGGCTAGCATTCCTTTACAAACGCTGCATTTTCAAGTCAGACAATGATAATCCATGGGCTCTATTACATAAATGAAACATTTTAAAGACATTAATAATAGTGCACTTTTAACTTACTCTAGCTCTAGAGTAAGTGTAACAGAATTTACTCACGTACGGTACTATTACTGTGTGGTTTAATGCGGGACAAATGGGAAATGTGAGTCTCACTATACATCAACACATAAAAACTAATGATAAGCAAAACCTTTACAAAGTGTGCCAAAAACAATTGGGACTATGAAACCCTAGTAAATGAATTGAGACATTTAATAATCACAAGACTTATTGTGGAACGCTAATTAAAGTCACAACGTAATGACGTAATGGGACTAAATCAGTTAAATGCATCAAAGGGTGTAAGGAACTACAAATTTTTTGCTTGATGTCCAGGTAATATAGATGTGTAACTTTAATTATTAATTAATGTAACAAATAAATTTTCAAGACTAAAAGACATTTGCTCTACATCAGTATTATAAAACCGAAATCTCATCATACGATATTTTTAACACAAACTGTTGTATAAATCTATGATAATTAGTGAGCGACAGAGTTATAATTCATCCTTAAATTATATATCAGTGCATCAGAATTTTAATTTAATGAAGAAATGTTGAAAGATTTCAACTTGTTTAGTACCACACATAATTATTGGCTTATGTACACACAAGAAGCTGCCACACAATAATATTATCTTTAAAAAAAACTAGATTACATAACCGATCTGTATGTAGCCAAAGACTCGGCTTAATAATTTTACAAAATGATACTTACATTAAAAGTTTCTGTAACTCCATGACCACTAAGTGCGGATGTTTCAAGGTATGGATACTGATGTATTGCTGCCCATTCAGATACTTCATAATAACTCACTGCTCTTGGTGCTTTATCAACCTGCGGAGTACAATTACATTCAGATCTAACAAACCTTTATAGACTGATCTTGTTGAAAAGAGTTAACACAATTATATTCAAAATAATTCAATTCTATTAATTTAAACAGGGATCGTGCAATATAGTTATAAGCGTTGATGTAGAAACATGTTGAAAGATACTTTTCACATCACGAAAATAACTAGAATATGTGCATAAGTGAGTTTCAACTTTTCTAACTGACTTCTTCTTTTACTTATTCCTCAAGATAAACTTTCTGAAGATAAGTGAGCAAAATATGTTCAAAAGAATTATAATACTTATAGAAAGCGTCCAAGGAGCATAGATAAGCATTCTGTAAACATTAAATTACTAACAAAATCAATAAGATTATATTATATAACAGCTATTCTATGTAACAATGTGCTGAAACTCGTCAATTCTTATTGAATTCCTTGAGAAGACAAACCGAGTCAGTTGCATCGTGACGTAAAGAAGTATTTAAAAATTGTAAAAAAGATGGAAATTCATAAAGCGAAACAACTTCCCTACAAATTGACTTAATCATTCTTTCATATAAGCCAAACCTAGCACGCTTTCTAACTTTAGGTATTACATACAAGAAATGAAGTCGTATAACCAAAAGTCAAGACATATAATTGCACTTAAATGGGGTAAAGTAAGCTTAATCTGTAAAAAGAACTGGTTCGACAAATTTAAGTAAACTCAGTAATGGACAAATGTAGCCTTACTTTGTTACCACAAAGGATTATGACTAGAGATGAAACAGAATTAGCTTCACCGGATTCGAAATGCAACTCATGAACCCACCGAATCAGATTCTCAAACGTTTTCCTATTTGTTACGTCAAAAGTCAAAATAGCACCATTTGTATCTTTATAGAACTCATTTCGAATATCGTAAAATGAAGGATTTCCAGACATGTCAAATATATCAACGCGTAGCTCATTGTTTCCTACCTTGGTTCTGTCATATAAGTTTATGTCATAACATTACCTGAAGACACCATAGTCTATACCGATAGTTGGTAAGTACTTTGAAACAAATCGTTTCTCACAAAACCGTTTGATCAGACAGGTCTGGACGGTAACAGAAGTAAGAACATACCTTTCCCGTGTCTTCATCTCCCATGCTAATAATTTTAACTTTTATGGGTTTATTTTCTTCGGGCATAATTAAACGATATTCAGTCAAATTATCACGCTATTTCAAATTAGGACTTTTTTTATGACCCTCACGTTACATTGGCTACGTCAGATAAAACAAATAACTTGCAAAATGCAAATGTTCTTCATTTTCACTCTAGCTTGTGTGGTAGTTGTATCCATGAGTGTCTCGAGAATGTTGATGTACTATTCTAGGGAGCAGCCTAGTGATCTACCTCGACGGTCTGTCACGACGATTAACAATTTAAATGGTTCAAATGGTTGTGGACGGAATAGAAGAAGCTTTCGCTTAACAGGCTTCCGTGTCTAGTAGCAGGGGATCACCAAATCCTCCAGGCAGGAACCTAGGTATGTTAACAATATCTAATATCTTCGTGATAAGGTTGTAATAAGTGAATAATTATTTTTCACACGCCTTTTGTTGTTCCAGTATTCAATGTTTGGCGTTTGTTTGGTTATGTCTGATGGGTGATAATTTAGCCAATAAACTTCACTAATACCAGTCGCTTTGATAGTTGTTTGGGACTTGTATTGTAGTGTAGAAACAGTAAACCAGTTCATTGTTTTGAGTCATAATCGTAATGTTTTTGTAAACGATGAAAATCTAAAAATAAATATATCATCCATGCATTTCTCAGTTGTTCCATCATTCTTTGAATTCTGATGATATTCCGATTGCTCTCTGTTTGCCTTCCGGTTTTCTCCATTTTCTTCTGGTGAGTATTCCAGGTTATTTTCGCTACATACTACTTAGATCTGTCCACGTATATAGCTTACACCAGAGTATATACTGCATATCAAGTTTGTGCGTTTTTCTCAGGGAATTAGGGATTCTGGACATCACACATTATCAGGCAAGAGGTTGGTTGTTTGCAATGTGAAAATGATAAAATGATAATCCAAGCGCTAATAGAGGACCATTGTTTCAAGAATAAGTAAATAATTCACTTAGCCGGCAATTTGTAAGAGGACGGAGGTGATTCAATTAGAGGGAAAGGGAGATGATTACAAGTGAGATATGGTGTAGGTGCTAGATATACTTTAATAATTACCATGGTGATTTGTAAGGCATGCATCAAACACAGATGGTTCAGATGGAAATCCATGAATGAGTATTTGATTGTCAAGTGTCTTCTCAAAGCTATCCACTGAGGGAGCTATTGCCATTTCGGATAGAGAGTATTCCAAATGGGGACAAGTTGTAATGAGAAAATGTGAGAACGTACTTGGGTATTCGCCCTTCGATCTGAAATCTTCCGAGGGTTGCCTCGAGGAGCGTGGTGATGATGTTCTGGTTATATGTTTATGTTGGGGTGACTTAGAGTGCCTGATATGTAGTGGTATTGGTCCTAACAACATAATCTACAAAGCTGAACATGAAATAACTGGGGAAGTAGATATTCAAGGTTTAACACAGAGAGTAGGCCAACAATGGCTAAGGCGAGAATATTCACTTCATTTCAATCAGGTGGCACGGTTCAGGCGTGGTCATTCTGTATAACTTGTCTTCACGCACAGCAGTCTCATGCTATGAGGAGAGTAGATGCACATGACTTGCTTCTTCCCGAATCACTGTTGAGCTTCATAATGGGTATTGTTTTTGCCCGTGTATTCCCCCATTTATTCATTGACCAGTCCTTCCACTAACAGGTGTGCGACAAAGTCGCACACTGGCATGTTGATAGATTCCACGCAATACTTCGGGATTACATGTTGTAGTTTTCACATCCTGGTGACTTTCCTGGGCCCAGAGACCTTATTCTCCTGAGCACTAACACAGGAGGCAGATATCTGCCAGCAGTCAATTGCCACTACACATGAGATGTGTTCCGCGTTTTCAGGATTCTGGTTTAGTTGGTCTATAAAGTTGACATTGAAGATCTGTGCTATTTCCAAGCCATTTGGTCCTTCAAGAATACAGACCACCTTGTTCATTGGTTTCTGCTCTGTCAATTATCTGTGGAGATATTTGGGGTTACTTCTGGTTTTTTTCTGCTAGCTTGGTTTGAAAACATCTACCGTCGTGTACTATTTCGTTGCATCTGTCGGTGTCAAGTAAGAGCTGCGATCCAAATCCTTAAGGGAGACTTGTCGGATAGTGGTCTATGTTGATGTTAGTGCGTTTATATTCACTACCAGAATAACCTAATCCACATTTACACATTTGCCGGGTTGTAAATATCCAGTCAATAAGGTCTTATGTGGAAATCCCACCACTATCTATGCTGACTCCTCCTATTGTATCAATCAGTAATATGATGTTTAGCACTCCTGAAGAACACATTTGGGCCCTGGATAGAATAATATATTTAATGTGAGAAATGATAAGCTACGGAGTAACAACGCCCGCATGGCCGTTCCATGTCGTGCCTATCAAGTGTTCCAGTATCCATCGCTTTCAACTCGTTCAACATTGAGTGTAAATCCTTTCAGTTGCCATGTGTTCGCCGACACGGGTCGCATGAGAACCGATACTACTACGGACTTTCCGCTTGTTCTAGGACTTTCGCCTGGTCAGTAGCAAGCGTTCTGTGCCTCACGTAACCCAGAACCTTTGCTTCCTATTGTTTATCCTGAGGTACGTTGTATTAGATAGTATTCAGAGAGGTGTCTCTCTCTAACTCTAAGTAGTTGACCACAGTCGGCCACAGCAACTCTCGTATCTATGAGATGTGTTGAAAATGCTCGCTCGTCATCTTGTGGTCTCTACTAATGAACCTTAGGTAGGGAGCATTCTCGTCTCTCCATGGTATCTCGCTTGTGGTGGCGATAAACACAACTTTACGACGGTCACCACTTCCTATTGGTACGTGGGTATACACATCATCTAGAAGCAGATCAATAGTAGGTAAATGATCTAAGTTTGATGACTTTCCATCCCCGTTTCACTTGGCAGTGCCACCCACGTGTTCAGTCATGAACGTCTAATGGTTACGAGAAACCCGTTAAGAGACCACCCTGTAGAGCTTGTATCCTGCTGGATGAGATTTAGGGATTGTATTGAAATCTCAAGCTAGTACAATTCGGTCAAATCTCATTTATGGTAGCCGTAATACTATCTCATCATTGAGTTTTAGAGCCTGTGAATTACTTTTCGGAGTTTACATTAAAGCAACACTAACATGATTCCGTCACCTCGGTTAACTCGGTAATGCGTGATGTTACGTCTTCTAAGTGACTGTTAATTTATATGATCACTCCAACCGTTTTTAGTACTCTGTCGTATCTGAAACATTTCCTGCCTAACAAGCTCATTTCTTCATCAATGTCAGGCGACTGCTATGTTTTAGTTAGAACCATGGTCCTCAGGTCTAGCTGAAAAAGACATGCTACTGATTATTCCTAGCTTGCCCTCTAGTCATCTCAAGTTGCTATAGAGGCACTTGATGGTCTCTACAGCAGCACCGGCCTTCTGTTTTTTAAACAGAATGTTGTTTAAAGTGTGTTGGCTAGTTCCGTGGAATTTGAAAGCTGTATGGTTTTTGTCTGTATAACGTCTTATTATTGAGACCGTGGTCTCCATTTGCTTTACAGTAGAACACCTTTATCTGGCTTTCTTCCACCACTCTACTGACTAAAGTCGGCTCTCACAACATGTTATGACTGCAGACACCGTTTTCGATCTATACAAACCTGACGAGTCTCAGTTAAGTCCTCTGAGTTTTTGAAGTTCACAGCTATCAGACGCGGGGACTCGATGGTTATGAGGTGTAACAGATGAGGTAGCTTGTCAACACCAATCATCGTGGTGGTGTGAAAGCCTATGCTATGTGATTACTAACATCGCTGTTGAATATCATGTTCATAGGCCTCATTCTGACAACCACGTACTAGCTCAGAGACTCAGTGAAGCACCGTGCTGGTTGGCTGTTGGACGTCTTCTAGTTTTTGAGCGGCATCGCTCGAGGTTACTCGTTAGTTATGTGTAACTCGGACTTGAGATGCACGTTTAACCGATGGCTTCTGTGACATCAGTACAAGTTTTTCTTTAATGCGGACTGAATCTTAAATTACTCGTAATGGAGAGGGTTTGTAGTGGCATTGGGTCCTAGCCATACAATCCTCAATGCTGAACACAAGACAACTGGGAAAATAGACATTTAACCTTTAACTCGGAGAAAAATCCAACGATGGAGAAGGCGGGACCAACGAATTGAATTAATTCGAGTTGATCGGTTAGCAGGGCTCGACCTTGCAGACGTGGTCCCTGTTGAATGTTACCTTATACCTTTTGTTCATATTAAATATATTGTTCTATCTCTAACCTAAGCTTGTTCCCCTTCGCGTATTGGTAATTGTTTCGATGCAATGAGTTGGTGTAGGCGATTATGTGACTTCCACGTAAGATCTTATAGATTAGGCAGTTATACCATGGCAACTCTACAATTTTAGGATTAGGTCTGGTATTAGAGCAGTACTAATATCATAGTAGACCCTTATACCGGCGGTACTGCTGGGATGAAGTGGCACCCTTGCTCAGCGTTGTGTAGTACTGGTCTCATGTTCTTTATAAATATGTTTTTCTATTTTCTACTAAGCTACTAAGCTTTCACGTAATTGTGACTTTCATAGCATCACTCTAAACTATAACCGCACAAACATTTATTCTATTGTCATATCTTACTACAACGATAAATTATTTTTTGTTACTAATTCAACGATACACACATGGTCGTTTTTTCTTCTTCTCTGTTCATAAACACGCCTATTAGACTGTTTGCTTATTTCACGTCTCCTTTATTTCTATTCCCTTATTTTCTCCATTTCCTTCTTTAAACTCAATTCAATATTCTTCTCAATTACACAGACCCGATTTATTATTATTAATATTCTACTATTATTATTCTAATTTATTTTTTATTTTTTAAATCTGGCAAGTATAATGCTAACATTATTGAAAATTGTGTATTATTGCATTTTCTGAAGAAACCCGAAATGGTTTCTTCACAACACTTATGTACCCATAAGATGTTTGTGAATAATAATAATAATAATAATAATAACTGG